CCTGCTTCAAAAACATTTATAACTTGTTTTTTCCCCTCCTAAAAGCTTAAAATTTAGGAGTTTGTTAATCCTGTACAGATGGAATTCGTTTTCATTAATTTTTCTTTATAGTAGCACATCATGCAATTTTTTAAAAAGGCAGCAAGATCGTGAAGCAGGAAAAAAAATTTGCTCTAAAAAACAACAGAATTTTATTTCAGCCCCTTTCACTGGAATCTACAGACCATTCATGAAACATATTTCTGCTCCTAGAAAAGATTGCTACCTTAGATGGTTTGGTTGATTATATTTCCACTACTCTGAGCAACTTCCAACCACAAAATAAACATTGGTGGCCACAGACAAGATACAAGCTACCGAACAGAACCAAAAGTCAGACCAAATGACAGTCAGTTACCAAGGCCTCCCTGAAAAGCAGTTTTTTTATGTACGCTGATCATACCAAGCTCATTCTTCTCCCAATAAAGCTCTATGGCTTCTTGGTGATCCCCTCAGGTGGTTGAAAATAAAACCACGTCCATCTATGCAAAGAACTGTAATGATCAACCAATCTGGAACTTTAGACAAATGGCAGTTTTGTTTATGTAGAACTGAAACTTTATCACAAACAAACAAACAAACAAACAAAGAGAGCTAAGATTTACAACCCCGCTGCCCTTCTGCAACTGCTTCTCCATCTGGGCTCTCAAAGCCATTCCTAAAACCCAAGTCCTAATAATGAAGTTCATTCACTGCCAAAATTTCATGATCACCTCCGAGAAATGAACTGGGCTTGCTTCTCAGTGCAGCAATTCCTGCCCCGTGTGTCGGTGTGCCTTTTGCCTCTCGGCCTCGATTCGTCCCTTCTGCCCCAAACGTGTTGGGCTTGACTGGCACGAAGGCTGAAGGCCAGGCCAGTCCAAAGGGAGAGCGCAAAGATTCAGGAGATGGTCTCGGATGAATAGGCTGACCTGGCTTGCATGGCAGAGACCTGGCTGGACGAAGCTGGGGAAACGGAGTCTTTTGTCAGCTTTGTCCCCCTGGGTTCTCTTGCGCTGCAGCAGGCCAGACCTGGGAGAGCGGGTGGGGAGAAGAGGTTGCAAGGGTCTCCTGAAGTCCAGTCCCCCTTCCCAGGGGCTCTGCCCCACAGACTGTGGCGCTTGAGGGCACGGATCCGAGAGTGGGAGCCTTGGACCGAGAGAGTGGGGGGCGACTCTTCTCGGCCACCACAGCATCTGCACAAAGCCCTCCCGTGGAGCTCTTCCAGGTGGTCCGGGGGCGGTGGAACAGACGGGGTCGCAAGAGAAGGACGCCAACCACTCAGCGGCCCACAGGGGAGATTCTCCACAGCACTTTGGAGAGAAAGTCGCTGGGACCCACTCTGACTCTGAGGCTGCAGCTGATGTAACGGGGCGGGGGGGCCTTGCTTGTCCCATTATAACAGATACGTTTCAGGTGGTGCGGCCTAAGGATGTGGACAGGCGCTTTGGAGAGGTGGAAGCCAGCACCGGCGTGCTGGGCTCTTGCTCCTCCTAGCAGCCAGAGGGAGGCGAGCTAAGTGGGTTCGTGGAATGGTCAGAGGATAGCGGGCCAGACTGCCGATCAAAGAGGCAGGAGTCATCATCTCTTTGTTTAAAAAACCCTCCTTGAATCCTGTGGCATATTAAGTACTCGATTCTATATTTTTTTATGAAGTACTGCACCACCTGTTTCTGTATTTGGTGTGTCCACCCTATTTTGTTTCACATTATTGTTTTACTTATTCTCCATTTGGTCAAGAATGAATGAATGAATGAATGAATGAATGAATGAATGAATGAATGAATATTGGCTGGCCTTCAATATTTTATGTTTGAAGCATGTGATAGTGACTGGTGATGGTTACAGGAAGCAAGTCACTCCCTTATTCCCGCAGCTTCACTGGCTGCCAGTCTGTTTCTGGGCCTACCTCAAAGGGCTGGCTGTTACCCTCTACGGCTTGGGTCCAGGCTATGTGAAGGGTCGTCTTCTCCCCAAATGAGCCTCCAGATACTGGGAAGCCAGGCACGGAGCCTCCAAGCTCTCTCAGCAGGATGGAAACCTCTCTCTCTCTCTCTCTCTCTCACACACACACACACACACACACACACACACACACACACACACACACACACACAAAGTGCTGCTGCAGCTGCTGCAGTTTCTCTTTTCTGAAGGGGACACAGGGAAAAGTCCCCCTCTTCAGGCAGGGGTTGTGGATGGGCTGCATGTCGTAACCTGACAACACTTCATGCTGCCCCCCACCCACCCCTTTACCGGGCTCTAGGTGTTCCTCTCCTTATTCAGATGACAAACGGGGGTGGTAGGAAAGCTACCCAAAGGCTACAGAAGACCATCCCGCTCGGAGTGTCTCCCATGTCTTACTCTTCCCTTCAGAAGCCTGTCAATTTCCCAAGGGCATGAATAACTGGTTGTGCAGGTCAGCCCCTCACCCTGCGGCGAGGGCTCAGATGGGTCCATGTCCCATGCCCCTCTTTCAGACCCACTGGACTAGTCTGTCAGGCTATTGCGCTGTCTAAAAGCTCTGGCTTGGCGAGCACAAGCCGGTCTCTGGAAGGAGAAGGCACTCTGCTGGCTGCCTTCTGCAAAAATCATCAGACTAACAAGATCTGGGGTGGGGGTATTACCAGCCAGGGGGAGGGATGGGAGAACCAGTAAAGACTCTTGCCTGTGTTGGTTGTGGTAGGCACTATATGACACCAGAACACCTCTCCTGTCGGTATGGCGCAGCTAATGCACGTAGAATTGGAAGATGGAATGTGAGAAGTATGAATCAAGGTAAACTGGAAACAGTAAAGCAAGAAAAGGAACACATGAACATGGCAGGGCTTGGTGTCAGGGCGCTAAAGTGAACAGGATTGATGGGTGTCGTTAGCTAGTCTTTTGTGTGCACTGATCACCCAGTCGCCTGAAAAGGACACAAAGCTGATCCCACAGTTGACTAGATACTCAACTATCTCACACACTACACCAGAACACAGACAGAGTTCTAATTCCTGTCCTCTGGAGATGCCCATGGCCACAGAGACGGGCAAAACATTAGAAAGAACAACCTTCAGAACAAAGAGCCAAAGAGCCCAGAAAACCCACAACCACCATCGGATCCCAGCTGTGAACTGGCCTGCCCTCACTCCTGCCTGTGTCTGCCCTTCGGAGGGACCCTGACAATGACAGAGGGGAAGGGGAGAGCTGCAGCAGGCATCTCCCTTTCCCGGCGCCAGTGGTGCTTTGGGAAGAACAGGGCGCCGCCGGCTGGCCTCCCACACCACTCACGCTGCCGATACGTACTGAGGATACCTCAAGCCACCCCCACCCTGCCAGTCCTCCTGAACCACAGACCTCAAGCTGCGAGTGCCGCCTTTATTGGGTTATAGATGTTTAAAGCCAGTGTTCCATGTTGCCTGTTTCACTTGCACAACCCTTTGGGTCCCCTGAGGACAACCAGCCGCAAGTTCCAGCCCTCTGAGCGCAGGGCAGGCCCCCTCGACTGAGCCGGAGCCTGGTGGCCCACCTGGCTCCTGTCCACTGGCACCGGCAATGACAGGCTGCCCTCCGAGGTTTCAGGCAAGGTCCCTTGGCCTGGCCGCTCCGTGGGAGCTCACGGTGGGTCTCCCTTCCAGGCACGAAAGAAAGAGGCCCGGCCCTGCTTAGCTTTCAAAACCAGACACGACCAGGTGTGTTCAGGGTGGGGTGGCGGTCCTCCGTTTTGTCAGGCTGGCCCAGGTAAGGCTGGCGGTGTGAGGCAGCCCCCCTCATTATAGCCTCGGCCCTCGGCTGCACAGCTTCCTGGGCACGGATGGGACAACTAGTTTAGGCGGGGGGGGCTGGCCTGCCCTCCCCACTGAGACAGCGGACCGAGGGGACACAGCCACACCTTGGCTTAACATCGCTGCTCTCTGGGGGACTTCTGCAGGTGGTCTGTTTCTGACAAGTGCCTGATTCAGGGTGACTTGGCCTGCTTGGGGTTTTCTTCCCATTGGGGAGGACACGGGGCAGGCAGCACTGACTGGAGAGAATGGCAGGGATCCCCCCACCCCACTCCTTCCAGCCAGGAGCACCAGAATCCCCCGGTAGAGAGGCAGGGCTTTCTCTGGTCCCACTGCAGGCTTCGGGGATACTTCCACCATCCGGGTTAGGTCCCCTTTCCCTGTTTTATGTCCCACCTAGATGCCCCAAACACACACACACACACCACGGGGCTGTGGTGCACACAGAAAGGGAAGGAAACCTTTCCTCTCATGCCACCCCAAGCTGCCTCCCCTCTCGGCGGCCTCTGCTGCCCCCAGGAGGGCTGATCCCCTGGCATCTCTGCAGCAGCTTTCCTCTCAAGGCTAAAAACAGCCACTGGGGTTGGAGAGGCAGGAACCTTTTCTGTGGTCCTTCACGGCAAGGGAGGGAAAGGATGAACCCCCTTTTTTGTGGGCCTCTCCCCGCACAAGTGGCAACTTTAGGGGACACGTTAGACGGAACATTTCACCGACGCAGATTTTTTGCCAACTCTTCTCTTCCACTGCCCGTCATGGTATTGGACTGTTTTCACCGGCTAATACGTAGCTTGGCGTTTAAACAGTGATTTTATTTGCTACGGCCCACATCTCTTGGGAACCTACTGAAAATGTGTCACTAATTTTAAAAATGCGAGGCACACTGTGATGGCCATTTATGGGGGAAGCTGAGAAAATTCCCAATGAGGTCAACAAAAAGTTATGAGATGACAGCAGGAGAGCCCAAGCCCTGTCTCCCTGACCCCGGGGGGCGAGCCACTCCTTCAAGGGTGGGTTTCGAAGGTGCAACAATTAAGGCAGGAACAAACTGAGGGCCACGAAACAGAGGCAGCATCAGGGAGGGAAAGGATCGCACTGAGCAGCCGTCCTGGATCGTCCCTTTCCACCCAGAGCTAGACGGGGGTGGGCAGAGGGAGCAGATGCCACGGAGGCCCGGAGGCCCTCCCCCCAAAACACAGCCACAGGTGGGAGCCTTACCTTCACACTCCGCCACGTCCAGGTTGAACTGCTGCAGGGCCCCCAGCGAGAGCTGCCTCACTTCGGCTTCCAAGAGCAGCTGCATCAGGGAGGCGGACAAGTGCTTGCAGGCAGACATGCAGGCGGTCTGGGCCACTTTGCCCTGGAAAACAAACGAGGAAACATCAAGAGGCGCTGGTGATGAGGACAGCGATGATGACGATGATGACGACGATGACAGAAGAGCACAGATGAGGAGGACCAGGAAAATACAAAACAAAGGAGCCGGCCTGACCATCTAGGGACTCAAACAGCAGCAGACGCTTCCTGCTGATGCTCCTGAGTCGGCAAAGGGCATCTTTGCAAAGAATCCACCTTGGGCAGTTGCCCAGTCCAGATGAAACCATGCATGCAGGCGCGGACATAAAGGAGGCCAGATCTGCTTCCCAGGAGAGGCTCGGAGCTACTGTCCCTAAACTAAAACCAGAAGCATGATGCAGAAAATAGCATGGGGCGATGGCACAGGGAAAGCCACACCAGGGCCTGCATCATCCACCTCAGCAACCCAGCTCTGAGCCTGGACTGCAATGAGACCCAATAAACAGGATCCTCCAGGACTACTCAGAGGTAAGAAGGCACTAGACGCATGCGAGATGTGTTTACAATTCTTTTACACCCTTCATACTTCCTTTCCACTTCTCTGCCTTTGTACTGAAAGCTTAATTACTGAGCAGTCAGAATGTTTGTGGACGCTCCGTCACGCCTCGTCAGTGAAGTCAACGGCATCCATGTGGGGACATCAGAGTCACTCCAAGAACATTAACTCAGCTTTCTAAAGAATGCAGCAAACATTAACCTTACAGCCTTTATTTACCTCAGTTTTTAAAAAGTAAGATTCTGTTTGCAAAACGCCACAAAGCTTCCCCAAATCATAAACTGTCCTTTGTGGGAGATTTAATATCCTTTAAACATGGTTAAACACCCATCCATTTCACAGAACTCCATGGAATTCTTAACAGATGAGGGGAAGGGGATCCAGGGTGGAGGCGTCTAATCCTCCGAAGACCCACTGCAGGAAATGTTGAACCCCACCCACCGTCACTCCATGCTCTCCTAGGGAATCAAAACATCCTAACTGCATTAGCCTGGCAAGAAAACCCACCTAGGTAAAAGCAATCCCTGAGACACAGGACAGGATCCAACATGGGTGGCTTTGAACTTGTTGACTGAAGTTACTGTTTTGAAAATCAACTCTGAATGAGGTTTTAACCAGGGATTTTAACCGAGCCCCTCTCGGCCCAATTTTGCTCTACTGGAAGGGACAAGGACCCCAGCGACTCAAGAGCACCTCTTGCCAGTTTGGGGGTAGTTCACCAGTTGCAGCCTTTCCTGGCACTGGCCAGAGCATATGGACATACTCTTAAATGTATGCTCTGGCCACCTCCAGGTGGCATTGATGCCAATGTCATTTTTGGAGCTGCCCTTGAACGTGTCCTACAAGCTTCAACTAGGGACAGCCTCCCTCTTGAGGGAGGGATTGGATGTCAGTTCTGAAGAAGCCCCCACTAGCTGCTGGGACCAGCAAGAGGTGCTGGCGCTTCCCTGTGAAGCCCTAGCCAGAAGGACGCCCCAGGGTCGGGAAGGGCATCTCTTCCCAGCCATTCAGAGTGTGACGCGGGTCCTTCTCCCCCTGCTGTTTGTCCTTGTCATTCAGAGGCGGTACATAATCTAGCAAAGGGGAATCGGGAATCCTTCTCTACAGGGATGGCCAAGAGTCTGGTATGCCCTCCAGAGGGGAAGCATGCCTGGCACCCGTGGCTTATCCTCCTTAATGTCCAGTCAATACCCTTTTAATTTGCTCAAAAGGTACCACAGTTTTAGATGACAGACTAGCTTCTCATCTCTTGATTCTGTTCCTCCGTTCTTTCAAAAGTTGTGTTAATTTGCCAGTGCCCTGGCCAGGAATGGATGACGGCGTTGTTTAAAATGTACACACATAAAATGAAACACAGCACATACTGTATGATGCCGGACGTTACGTGAAGGAATCTCTACCTCTGCTTTCTGCATGCAAGCTTCACCTTGTGCTGAGTAGGGAAATGAGCACGGTGCCATTCAGCCGGCTGTGTCAACGGGCCCCGGATCTCCATTTCCACAACTGTCCCACTCGAAGGGGCTTCTCAGGTGGCAAAATGCCCCACAGCCACACAGGCCCTGGTGAATTCTGCTCCCACTGCAACCCACCGTTTCCTACTACATGCCTGCAACCAAATCCTGTCAGAAACAAGAGACATTCCTTGGTGGGTGCTGCCTGTAACCTCCAATGTTCTCCTTCCGAGGTCCCTCAGAACTTTATCTGGTTCGCATCAACCTCCAAAGGTGATATACTTGCCCTTTCGGCTGAAACTCTGGAGTTTCCACCACGGGGGCGGCAGCAGGAAGGGGGCCTTACCAGTACCTTGCTGGAAGACATTTCAAACTGCTCAGCCCTGAGAAAAATGCAGCAAAACCATGTAAAGTCAAAAGTTACGCAGCTTTTGAAAGCAACCGTGAGACTGCGTCCCCCCCCCCCATGCTCCCTGGTCTGCTCTGGGAAGAAGAGCCAAAGGGCGTGCCAGAACAGAAGGGCTGGACAGCAAGCCATGCTGAAGACATGATTTCTTTTGGGGAGGGTGGGGGGGGCGCTACATGCAACCTGGAACTGGGAGGCACCCGCCTCTCCCACGCACCTTGTCATGCCTCTGAGCAAAGCAATTATCCAAATTCTCTCTGCCTCTAACCGTACGTAAATCTTTGGTGATTAATTAATTGTGAAGCCGGGGAGGGACAGCACAAAAGGAGAGGTAATTGCCAGCTAAAACCCCATGAAGACAGAGAGAGACCCTAGAGAGAAAACAGTGCCTACAAAGCCACCTAACAGGGAGGGTGAGGCTGACGCCATGGCTCTCTGTGGGGCAAACGAGAGAAAGGGGCACCGTTCGGGTGGTGCCTTGGCCAAAGGAGAAGGTGGATGAAGTCACATCGTCGTGACTTTGGTCTTTCGGGCCCACAGCGGATATGCATCAAAACCTGGCGCCAGAACCGGCAGTGACAAACCAGACTTGGAAGTGAGGAGCGCTTGCAAAGCAACACAGCTGGCAGTCAACGCGTTGCTTTAGAGCAGCCATGGCGAACCCATGGCACGCGTGCCACAGCTGGCACACAGAGCCCTCTCTGCGGGCATGTGAGCCGTGAGTTACCGGATCGCTATTCCCCTCCCCCACCACAGCAAAACCTGAGAAGACGGCTGCAGTTGCGGCGCTGGGGCCCCGACAGGGGGCGGGGCAGGATCCGGAGCAGCTGGCGCTGGTGGCACATCCGGAGTGGGCACTCAATGCACCTCCGTGCCCGGGATTCCCCCTTCCATCGCCACTTCTGCTACCGCCCCCACCATCTCTGCTGCCCCCCGCCGGTGTTTCTCTCCCCCTCCCCCCCCCCACTTTTGGCCCCCGGGCCCAAAAAAGGTTCGCCATCACTGCTTTAGAGGTTACTGGGGTATAACCAAGTTACATTTCAAAAGTAAAGAGTAGCAATAACACTTGCTTTTGGGATGTAATACGTAACATTCCCAATTACTTTGATAGATTGCTTTTAAACGGCATTTAAAAAGACATTTTGCACTCATTTTTTCCAATCCTATTAGGTTGGACTCTTGTGATTAGTTGGGTAACCCCTGCATGTCGTCATTCTGTGCCAGATGGACATTGCAGCAAAGGCTCCCTGGTAGGTGGCCTTCCATCTTTCAACACTCAGTCCAAAGAGTAACATTCCTAACTGTCTAGGATGTAATAATGGCCAACAGAAGGTGGTGGCAATGTTACCAGCTAGCCCGGGCTAACTGGCAGAATACTCTACAAGCAGTTGTACAAAGTATAACTGGAGATGAACCAAATGAAAATGCCCTTTGCACAAGTAAGTGCAAGGCCTGTTTCCTGTCCTGCTGAAACAATCCTTGAACCAAGGAAGCATACACATACACAGAGGCACTCTCAGCATTTCCATGCCCTCCCTATGGCAAGTATCCCCTTTGTTTTCTTCCTGCCAATGAAAATGGAAAATGCTAAAGATTCTCTTCCTATTGGGGAAGATCACAAAATCTGGGCACATTTTTGTAATTTTGTTGTTGTTTTGCTTTTTGCACTGGAGGGCAAACGTTTCACATAAGAGGATGTATGGGCAACCCCCCCAACCCATCTTTGTATTTTGCACAAAATTCACCTTGCATTTCACAGAAAATGCAAGATTTTATGTAAAATACCAGATGTGTATGCAGAATAAGACTGAATTCTGCTGATGATGGGGAAAAAAGTACTCAACCTTTTACTCTCATGCAGAAGAGCAAAAAAATCTTGCATCATTTTGGCACTTTTTCTGTAGAATATACCAGCTCCTCTAGAATTCATCTCTTTGAAGGAATTTTTATGTGTCAAGACCCTGTTTCTTGCTGAAGATGCTTTCCATTCCTACTATACACCGGGATTGTCATTATCGGTGAAACAAACCCTTCAAAAGGACCTAGGCCAGGCCCTGCTTACCTCACAACCTTTAAGGAGTTCATATCTGAGGGAAGGAGGTGTTGCCTGCGCCTGTCCCATCACGCTGCGGGGCCACAATGAGATGGCTTTGGGAATGATCACAGCTCCTCTTCTGCACTGGAGCACTTTAGAGCTTGTGTGCCTCACCAGCAACTGAAAAGCGCAGCCTGCAGAAAAATTCACCTTTCCCAAACAACAAACTTTAAAAAAGATACTTCCCCCAAATTTCCCTGTCCTAAACCCAATGCTAGTATGAACTATACGATACTCACCAAATCAATGAGATTTATGTAGTGTTGACTTAACTGAGTTCTCACTGATTCAATGGGTCTACTCTGCTTGGAACTCATAACCCAAGAAGGCCTTGTGTAGAGGAAGCAAAAGCCTGACAGAACGTGGATGAAGGAAGGGGTAAAGGGGGCAGTGGAGGCAAACCACTGCCAAAGCTGAGCTAAAATGGCCCAGAGGGAGCCCAGAGGTTGGGAGATGTGCTCATGGCAGGAGCAACCCCAGAAAAGTCATGGCACAGATGTCTCCGGACTTGGCTGCTGTAGGAATGCACCGGCTCTTCTGGAATTCAACTCTCTGA